CATGCCACAACGCTCTAAAAATTCCCAAAAATGCAGTTAATCGTGTGTTATTTCGGATCATTAGAGAAAAACGATTGCGCATGCGTGCATTTCAGCACGTTTTCTAAGAACTATATAGAAGAGTTTGAGTGAGAAAATAAATGTCTTTTTCGTCGCGGTAAGCGGGTTTTGCATGAGTCGTGACCAAGGGTTTTATTTTCTGTGATGAGTAATCGTGAAAAATTGAAGATCGTGATCAACTCGTAGCCTGCATTGCTGGCGGTCAGCGGTGAACCAACTCGTGAATAGCATATTGTGATATTTAGGTTCCATGGCCATACTGACTTTCGGTGGTCACGTGACCTTAACGTGTAAGCAAGACAGATACAGCTATTTCAAAAAACATTGGTAAAGGTTTTGTTGACCAATACATGTTGGAAAACTTACTGTCGAGTAAATTTATTTAACAACATCAACTTTTATAACTATTAACAATAATAATGATAGAATAATAATAATATTTAATAATAATATTTTGAGTGGCATACCATGGCTTCTTGCACAAGCCTTTAGGGGATCGTGCTGTTTGCTAAAGATATATAATTGAGAAGTGGGATATTCCATGGTGTATCACGAGGAAGCATTGAATAACTATTTTCTATCACAGCATTGAAAAACCATCACATGCACATCGGTCTTCATGCATTTTGATTGGCTGTATCTTCAATGTGTGGGATAACACTTAGTCTACAACAATCAACATAGGTGTTCGAAGTAGTTTACTGATTGGTTGGATTAATTTTGCTCCTGTTGCAGGCTGGGTAGTGACATGTCTTCAAATGCAGAGAGTTGCCATAATGAACTAAAAATAAAAGAGAATCGAAAGAAGAAAAAAAATGTTTAATGAAAAAAAGGTATGCCTAAACTATTATTGATTGACACATTAAACTACGGAAGGCTTTGCATCTCTTACTTCATACTTACGTCATCCATGCTAAAAACAACCTTGCCAGTCCGCGAAGCTCGCGATCTTCTAAGAAAACTYYCTGAAATGAAAACGTATGAAAACTGGATGATTAGAAAAAAATTTATAGCATTTTGGGTTCTTATGACGAAGAATAGACCTCAATAAATTAGTTGGGGGGAATATTTTCCCATTCCAGACCACGTGTCATTCTCTTGAAAATAAAAAAAGTACACAACCAGCATGCCGTCGGACGGATTACATGAGCCTAAGAGAGATACCTAATAGACTCACCGAACATCAAAACAAGCCTGACGTTAATCTGTACGAACATGTCGAAACTGATGACACCACGCTTACTGTGGAACCTCAGTACAATGGTCTCCAGTGAACGATTACTAAGCTTGAAATCTGTCCGGAAAGAAGAGAAAAAGTCACATCTCGCTCGCGGATTGACGCGCTTTATCAAGACTTCATGGCTGTCGAGGGTTCACTCCACACGATTCCAAATGGATGGAAAAGAAATTCGAAGAGAAATACCGGGTATTTATAGATTTTTCTTCTTACTTACTTAGTCCCTTGAGAGCATCACGTAACTCGTACGCGCCCATCTCGCCGATGTTATCTTTGTCATAGTACTGGAAATGTCGCTAAAAACAAACAAAAAAATAGTGTAAAGAGGAAGCAAAACATCGTATCAACTAAGAATTAAAGAATGCATGGATCATGCAGTAAATAGACCTCTTTAATTTACATGTGCGTTTCAGACCACGTGTCATTCCCTTGAGTATAACTTTTTGTTTAATAGTTGCGAGAATTAAGACACATAAATATGGATATAACCCAAACAAAGAATTTTATTCTCCAGAGAATGACACGTAGTCTGAACTGGGAAAATGAACTTTACCCTCAAGGTAAATACGTTTTTTGGTATGACTCACCTTCCAAGTTTTGATCAACATCCAGAGCTCAACGAATTCTTCAAATTCCAAAACACCATTTTTGTTGTACTGCCATTAGTTATGAAAATAAGCTGCTATATATATAAGAACACGTATACCAGGAGCATGCATTCTGGTCTAGCTTGGGTACAAACATTTTTATATATTAACCCCTGGGAATATGTTCTAATACTCACATGTCATAGAGGGAACGAACCCGAAACCCAAGAGGGCTAGCTAGAGCGGCTAATGCACTTACGGCCACTCTTGATTCACCTAACCCTTTCATTTTGTTTTAGCAACTTTTTTTATTGATTCAAAGGATACGTCAAACAATGTTATCATACTTCTGTTAAGAACAAAAGATAGCGGAAAATGTTGTTAGCGTTAATGTGTAATAATAGTGAATTAGATACAGTGGTAGTGTATTAGTGTGTGCGGAAAAGC